AAACGAACGAATAAATGATGAATTGAATGATTTAACGAATGAATAGAATGAATCAATTAGTGGAGGAATAATTTGAAAGATAGTAATAAAATGAATGAGAAAAATTAAAAAAAAACTAAGCCATACTTCAAAAATCGTCGTTGTTGTTTTCTTCAAATTGTCATCGGAACGATCATCATGAGACCATCATGTGAAACGTGCTGACGCCCACCACAGCCCACCTCTTATCCTGTAAAAAGTTATTTTTATTAGCTTAGTAGTAAATCAAGGAACAAAGGAACGAACGAATAAATGATGAACTGAATGATTAAATAATTAGTTGAAAGAATGAATGAATGAATGAATGAATGAATGAATGAATGAATGAATGAATGAATGAATGAATGAATGAATGAATGAATGAATGAATGAATGAATGAATGGAATGAATGAATGAATGGAATGAATGAATGAATGAATAGAACGAATTAACGTCAATTAATGGAAGAATAATTTGAAAGATTGAGGAAAGAAATGAATGAATGAGAAAAATAAAAAAAAACGAAACTAAACCTTACTTCAAAAATCGTCGTTACTTCAATCCATTGCACCGACCGCACCGACCACCACATTCAGATCGGCACACAAGATTTCATCCGAACTTCTGAGCGTCAGTCGAACAGCCAACGCGCTGATTCTTCCTACACCACACCATCATACGTAAATCATCATGAGACCACCATCTGAAACGTGCTGACTCCTACCACTGCCCACCTCTCATCATTCTGCAGACAATTTTTTTATTAGCGTAGTAGTAAATGAATGTTAGAATCTTAGAAGCAAAAAATTATAAAATGGAAATAATGGCAAATAAATAATAACTGAAAATAATAAAGAGATTAAAATGTAAAAAAAAAACTTACCGTCGTCCATTCGACAAAGGCAGAATGTTGAATGCTTTCCGGTTCCTACGTTGTCCTCCAAAACTGGTGCCAGTCCTCCTCGAGATTGTTGTTGAAACACAGCCCGTGGAATGGAGAAAAAGAAAATTCTCATCAGAAAGCTTAGCGGTGCCTGCATCTCAAATTGCTTAATAAAAATAATCCTATCTACCTATTCAATTACCTTAACTAATCTATATTAAATTGTTAATGGTACGATAGTCGAAAGTCCCCCTTCATTCTCCCTCCTTTGCACAGAGGTTCACCGACAGCCAGGGCACCGGATAGTAAACCATTGCCGTGCGGATAGTAGACTATTGCTGTGCGGATAGTAAACCATTTGCCGTCCGGAAGCCGTGCGGGTAGTAGACTATGGCCACGCCGCATAGTAAATCATTACCGTGCAGATAGTAAACCATTGCCGTCCGGATAGTAAACCATTGCCGGTTCACCACTGGCCACCAAGGCTTACCTCTGACAACGGACTTTGGAATTCAGAGTCTATCGGCTATCGTACCCTCAGCTTACCTATTCATTACATTTAAGCCCTAGCTTACCTAAAATTAAAAAAACTCAAGAGCCCAATTCATTGGCCTTTCGGCACCCACCCCAC